ATAACTAAAGCGGGTAAACCCAAAAATCTTTGTGCTACAATCTGCTATCCAATCTCTGCAAATTCTGCCCTTTTCATATGGCATAGCATTTCAACATTTTATGGGCACTGCGACAGTCGTCTTGTCAAACATATTTAGTTTATGTTTGTATAGATTTTGTAGGTTCGTATCTTAGAGGGTACATCACTTAGGCTTATACCCTTGTACTGTTTTTCCCTCGACATTCAACTTCTACGTTAATATGGTATCAGAGCAGAGGGGCGGCTGAAAGGCTCTAAGCTGGGTCCCAGTGCAGGCAGCACGCCAGGTCGCGTCTATCGTGCACAGGTGGGCGGCGAGGTCAGCGACAGTAGGGAAGGACGCAAGGTCAGGGAAGAGCATCGGCAGGATCAGACGACCTACAGAGGCAGCGGGCGGTGTGGAATAGCGCTTGACGACGTCATCTAGAAATTCTAGCGCAGTCGTGACTGACCTAAAGCGTGGGCGCTCAGACAGGGGGAGGGCATGACTGAGCGCAAGCTGCGCGACTGCGTCACGCGACAGCCAGACTGAGCGGGCAAGGGCAGCAGCTGCGGTGGACTCACGGTCAGCGGGCGAGGGGTCAGCGGGCAGGGGAGCAGGGGGGTCAGGGCAGAGGAGCGTACCGTCAAGATGGACCGCCAGGGAGTGGCCGTCTTGCCGCTGACCAGTGAGGTGACACCGGAGGTCGACCAGCCACGTGTCAAACTCGATCGGCTGTCTCTCTGCGTCGAAGCGGAGCACGGAGTCCGCCATCAGGAGCGATGCAGCCGCGGCGCAGTGCAGTGCGGTGCAGAGTGGTGCTGTGCCGTGCATTACGGTGCAGTGCGGTGCAGAGCGGTGCTGTGCGGTGCAGAATGGTGCAGTGCGGTGCTGTGCGGTGCAATGCGGTGCAGAGCGGTGCTAAGCTAGGCAGAGCGGTGCAGAGCGGTACCGGGCAGAGCAGGTACAGGCACGGGGGCCAGTTAGGAACGGGCGCGCTGGAACCTGCAGGAACGGGCGCTAGGGGACGAGGAGCCGGCTAGGACGGGCGGTAGGAGGGGAGGAGCCGGCGAGGACGAGCGCGTGGAACTGGCGAGGACGAGCGTGCGGGCCGGCTGAGGCGAGCTGAGACGAGCGTGCGGGCCTCAGGACTGGGCGCTAGAGGCCGCGTAGGACGAGCGTAAGGGCCGCCTAGGACGGGTGCGACGGCTCAGGGGGACGGCTAGGACGAGCGCGACAGCTCAGGGGGGGGGGGGGGGGGGCGGCTAGGAGCGGGCGCGACGGCTCAGGGGGGGGGCGGCAAGGACGGGCGCGACGGCTCAGGGGGCCGGCTAGGACGGGCGCGACGGCTTAGGGGGCCGGCTAGGAACGGGCGCAACGACTCAGAGGGCTGGCTAGGACGGGCGCGACGGCTCAGAGGGCCGGCTAGGACGGGCGCGACGGCTCAGGGGGCCGGCTGGAACGGGCGCGACGGCTCAGGGGGCCGGCTAGGAGCGGGCGCTACGGCTCAGGGGGCCGGCTAGGACGGGCGCGACGGCTCAGGAGGGGGGGGGGGGGGGGGGGGGGGGGGGGGGGGGCGGCTAGGACGGTCGCGACGGCTCAGGGGGCTGCCTTACTCACGTTCGTGCGCCTGGCACGGACAAGCTCACTGCCCGCACCCTCCCTTGTGTCTTCCTCAGTTTCCCCCTTGACGCGTCCGACTGGCACTTCTACCACCTGCCGTTTCACCGGTTCTTTCACTCCCGTGATGTCACATTTGACGAGTCCATCTCCTTCTACCGTCGCTTCCCCCACAGAGGTCCCCCGGTTACTCCCCCCTTGTTTCTGGTCACCCCTTCCTTGGTCGCCCCTGTCCACCCCCCTCCCCCTCCCCGTCTTGCACCGTCTGGTGTGTCTCACGTCACTCCCCTCCCGTCGGTTGTCCCGGTCGAAGAGTCTGCTAACTCTAATGGCCCTGCGGCGCAGTCCTCGCCACCTGCCCCTTCCCAGGCGTCTCCTGCTCCACCGCCTTCGCAGCCGCCATCGCAGCCGCTGTCGCAGACACCGTCACAGCTGCCGCCGCCGACGCAGCCGTCGCCGCAGCCGTCGCAACAGCAGTTCGTTGGCTCTGGGGGTGCAGGGGTTGGGGTGGGTACTAGTCCTGGGGTTCCTGTCGTGGCTTGTCCCGGTGGGCCTAGGGGTGGTACCGGTGTTCGCGGGGTTTCAGGCTCTTGGGGTGTTCCTTCTGGGGGTGCTGGAGTGGAGTGTTCCGGAGGTAGCCGTGGAGCAGCTTGCCGTCCCGGTGTCGGTGTCGTGCCCTCGCAGCAGCAATCACCACCGGTGTCAGCCCTTCACCTGCTCGGCCTACCGTCCCCTGACCACGTGTCTGTGCCTCCCCTGCCGTCTCCTCCCCTTCCTATCTACGGCCCTGTGTTCCCTCCCCCGAACTCGTCTCCGGCTCGTCTTCCTCCTCATTCCCTTTCTTTGTCCCCTCCTCTATCTCCTGACCCGACGCCTCCGTCTCACGTCTAGTCTCACCGTCCCTCCCGTGCTCGCCTTGTCTCCCCTATCCCGCGCTCTCACCCTATATTGCTTCGTTCCCACGTGTCTCGTCCTCCTCTCCCGTCGCCTCCTCCGTCCTCCCTTGTCGTTGCGCCTCCCCCTTTGTCTGACTACCTTCATACTGCTTGTCCTCTTGTTCCTCGGGTCCTTGCCACTCTCGTTACCGACCCGTCTATTCCGGTTTCGTGTCTTGACGCTCTTGTCGCTGCGGTCGCTGACTTCGCCTCTACCCACCGCCTTGACTACGCCACTGCTCTGGTCTCTGACCCTGCCTGTCCTCCGTTTGTCGGGGGTGCTCCTGCCCTCGGCAGTGACGTCCTGGAGGACCATCAGTACGAGCTTGCTTTCCTGTCCGAGGCTGCTCCCCATCTCTGTTCCATGCTGTTAGTCCCTGAGGGTGACCCAGACGCTTTCGACATCCCGACCCCTCGTACCTATGCTGAGGCGACCTCGGGACCTTGGGCCTCGCAATGGATAGCTGCCATGGAGCAGAAGATGGCATATTGGAGATCCACCGGCACCTACATCAACGCAGTTCCTCCACCTGGGGTGAACGTAGTCGATGGCCGCTGGCTGTTCAAGGTGAAGCGCCCTCCTGGAGAGCCGCGTGTCTTCAAGGCGCGCTACGTGGCTAGAGGCTTTAGTCAGCGTGAGGGGGTGGACTTCTTTCAGACTTTCGCCCCGACCCCGAAGATGACTACTCTTCATGCACTGCTACACGTAGCAGCATAGCGTGACTACGCGTTACACTCCCTCGACTTCTCCACTGCGTTTCTTCTCGGCAGTCTACACGAGCAGGTCTACCGGCGCCGCCCTCAGGGTTTCACTGGTACCTTCCTTCCTGGGACCCAGTGGCTTCTGTGGCGCCCAGTCTACGGCTTGCATTAGGCTCCCCGTGAGTGGCACGACACGCAGCGTGCTACTCTTGTAGAGCTGCAGTTCTTTCCCTCTTCCGTAGACCACTCGCTCTTTGTTCGTTCTGGCCAGAATCCGTTCTACATCCTTGTTTACGTAGATGATCTGGTCTTTGCCACTGCAGGCACCGCTGCGCTGGCCTTTGTGAAGGGTGAGCTGCTGCGGAGACACACCTGCACTGACCTAGGAGAGCTGCGCCACTACCCGGGCCTGCAGATCTCCAGAGACAGAGCAGCGCGCACCATCACTCTCACCCAGTCACACTTGGTGCGCCAGGTCCTTCAGAGTTTCGGTCTTCAGTTCTCCTCCGCACAGCCCACACCTCTTCCAGTAGATCATAGGCTCTCTGCTCCAGTTCTTGAGGAGTCAGTAGAGCCCAGTGGTCCTTACGCAGAGCTGGTGGGTTGCCTCATGTACCTGATGACTTGCACTCGTCCTGATCTCGCATACCCTCTCAGCATCTTGGCTCGCTTTGTGGCCACAGGCAGACACAGACCTCAACACTGGTCTGCAGCTAAGAGGTTTTTGCGTTATCTCGCGAGTACATCAGGCATGGGGTTAGTGCTGGGAGGACGAGGGCCGGTGGTCCTTACTGGGCACACAGACGCTTCTTGGGCAGACGACGCAGAGACCCTTAGGTCCTCGCAGGGCTACTGCTTTAGCCTTGGTTCAGGTGCTGTCTCGTGGAGAGCTACTCGCTCCTCGTCTGTTGCCCAGTTCAGCTGTGAGGCCAATATCTACGCCGGTGCCATGGCGGCACAGGAGCTCCGCTGGCTGACCTTCCTGCTCACTGACTTAGGTGAGCGGCCTCGCTTTGCACCAGTCTTGTACGCTGACAACAGGGCCATGATCCTCCTGTGATAGGAGCCTAGACTTGAGGGCAGAGCAAAGAACATCCAGCTGCGGTACTTCCTCCTGCGCGAGCTGCAGCAGCGTCGCCAGGCTCGCGTAGAACACTTGGTCTCCGGTGCCATCACAGCTGATATCTTTACGAAGGCGCTTGCGCCTAAAGATCATCAGCGGCACTGTGTATAGCTAGGCCTTGTTCCTGTTACCTCTCACCTGCTAGGGCCTTGACTATGTACTGACCTTTATATATATTTCATTCTTGACTGGCCTTGTGGCCTCTCCCAGTGGCTGGACTAGTAGTGCCACCCTGTTCTTGCCCTTGCACTGGTCTGTACTTGTTTGACTGGTCTTTATGTCACAGGATCGAATGTGTCGAGGAAAGGTTGCACTATCGATCAGTACAAGGTGCTTTTATACTTCCAGAGTACATCAGGTAACCAGGTTTATCTTATCCTAAGGGAATAGACCCTTCTAGAAGATAGAATCACTCTGCGTATAGCCACGCGAGGCGATTGGCTTTAAGGGATTACGGCAGGATTACGCTAGATAGAGCACACCAATACATCCCAAGCCTGGTCGGTGATATAATGATAATAGCAGGATAAACCAAAGGTTAATGGAAAAGGAAGAATAGGAAACCAAATGAGAGGCGGTAAAAAGAGAAATGAAAAGGAAAGGAAATAAGAAAAGGCCAAGTGGTGTAACGGGGTCGTACTCTCACACTTCCCCCCCTCAAAGCTGGGTGGTAGAAGTAACACCCTGCTTGACAAGGTAGTCATGCAGAGGACGACGGGCGTTACCCATGTCGGACTCAGGTACCCAGCTGTCCTCAGAAGGATCATAACCCTTCCAACGGATGAGAAGCTCCACGGTGCCATGCCGACGACGGCGGTGTGCGAGCACGGACTCGACCTCGTACTCGGGTTCATTCTGGACGAGGACGGGCGGTGGCGGCGGCGGTTGGCGTCCGACGAAAATTGTGTTCGGGTCCCGATAGGGCTTCAGAAGTTGGACGTGGAAGGCGTTGTGAATCTTCCAGGTAGCTGGCAGGCGTAAGCGGAAGGTAACAGGGGTGACTTGTGCTTCAACGAGAAAAGGCCCGCAGAAGCGAGGTCGAAGTTTAGATGGGAGATGGCTGATGTCCAGGTTGCGGGTGTCAAGAAGAACCTGGTCTCCCACGGAAATGGTGTGGTCGTTGCGATGGCGATCGGCTTGGCGCTTCTGTTGCTGTTGAATGTCGAGTAGGCGCTTGTGGGTCCGATCCCAAAGCTGGTGCATGGTTGTAATGAAATCATGTGCGGGTTGGACTGTAGCTGATGCTGTCGGTTTTTGTGGTGTGAGTGGGTGGCGTCCGTAGCAGAGGAAGAACGGCGTCTGTCCAGTAGCGGCATGTGTAGCATTGTTGTAAGCAAACTCGAGTACGGGCAGGTGCAAGTCCCATTTGGAGATGTCGTCCTTGCAGGCTGCTCGGAGGAGTTGCTCAACAATTTGGTTGAGGCGCTCGGTCTGTCCGTCTGTCTGTGGATGGTATGCGGATGACATGGCGAGTTTGGTGCCGAGCAGAGACATAAGTTCCTTCCAGAACTTGCTAGTGAACTTGGGGTCTCGGTCGGAGATGAGTGTAGTTGGGATGCCATGCTGTGAGATGATGTGACGAACGAAGAGCTGTGCTGTCTCCTCGGTGCGTGCCGTCGTGTGTGTCGGGATGAAGTGTCCCATTTTGGAGAACTTGTCAATGACGACAAGGATGGCGTCATGACCGCTGGAGGTAGGTGGTAACCCGGTGATGAAGTCCAGGCTAACCACTTGCCATGGTAGTTCTGGGACAGGAAGAGGCTGCAGTAGTCCCGCCTTTTTCTGCTTGCTGCTCTTCATCCGCTGACATGTATCACACGAGGTGATGAATTTCTGAACGTCGTCTGCCATATGGGGCCAGTAGTAGTGTTTGGCGATACCAGTGAGCGTCTTGTTGCTACCGAAGTGTCCGGCGTACAGGACGTCGTGGTATTCTTCGAGTAGTAACTGGCGCAAAGGAGGGTAATTGGGTACCCAGATTTTTGTGGATCCCTTCCGGTACGCGATGTCACTGTTCCACTGTAGCAGATATCGCTTTTCTGCCAAGGAAATTTCGGGGTCGATGGCGTACCCGTGTGTAGTGGATTCATCCCTTCGACCTGAATCGCGGCAACGCGTGCAGGCCGGCTGAGAGCGTCTGCTTTGTTCTTGTGGCCGGGCTTGTACACGATGTCGTAGTGGAAGTGTGTCTCGAGGAAGTCGATCCACCGGACCTGCCGCCTGGAAAGGTTGGGTTGTGTCTTCAAATATTTCAGGCTGCAGTGGTCGGTGTAGACGGTTGTTCTTCGTCCTTCGAGATAGCATCTCCACGCTTTGAAGGCGATGATGATAGCAAGAGCCTCTTTGTCATGTATCGAGTAGTTGAGTTCTGCCCCGTGCAGTTTCTTGCTGAGGTAGGCAATTGGTTGCAGTCCATTCCCTTGGTCTTGCATCAAGACTGCTCCCACGGCCTGATCACTGGCGTCTGCTTCAATGACGTAGTCACGTTCGGGATCTGGCAAGATGAGCACCGGTGCGGACGTTAGTGCTTGTTTCAGCTGCTCCACGGCTTCTTGGTGCTTCGTCTCCCATTTGTAGGGCGTGCTCTTCTTCAGCAGATTCGTGAGTGGTGCCGCGAGTTTCGCATACTGTGGCACGAACCTGTTGTAGTAATTAGCGAAGCCTAGGAACTGCTGCAACTCCTTCACGTTCTCGGGTGTCTTCCACGTACGTACGGCTTCGACTTTCTTGGGGTCGACGTGAACTCCTTGAGCGCTCACCATGTGTCCTAGGAATTGGACCTTTTCAAGGGCGAATTCGCTCTTGGACAGTTTGACGTAGAATCGTTCCCGTCGAAGAATTTCGAAGACGCGTCGCAGGTGTTCGACGTGCTGCTTCATGTCGCGCGAGTAGATGAGTATGTCATCCAGGTACACCACCACGCATTCGTCCAGAAGTGGTCGTAGAATGTGGTTCATTTCGGCTTGGAACGTTGCCGGCGCGTTGGTGAGTCCGAACGTCATGACCAAATACTCGTACGATCCGTACCGAGTTCGGAAAGCAGTTTTGTGGATAGAGTTGTCCGCCATCCGTATCTGCCAGTATCCGGACCGCAGATCCAGTTTGGAAAATACCGTAGCTCCCCGAAGCTGGTCAAGCAGGTCATCGATTCGCGGTATCGGATATTTATTCTTGATGGTCTGCTTGTTAAGAGCTCGGTAGTCGATGCACATGCGCAGGCTTCCGTCCGGTTTCGGTGTGAAGAGTACTGGGGCACCGTACGGTGAAGTAGATGGCCGGATGAGTCCTTTGGCTAGGAGATACTCGATCTGTTTTTCCATGTCAGTCAGCTCCGTAGGGCTGAGCCGATATGGTGCTCGGAAGGTCGGTTTCGAACCCGGTTCCTCCACAATCTCGTGTTGATGTGTTCGGTATGGCGGTAGCTCGTTCGGAAGATCGTCAGGAAGAATGTCTTGGAACTCCTTTAGTAATTCCTTGATTTTTTCTGGAGTTCCCGAGGCTTTCTCTACGTCATCCTCCACTTCTGTTGCTATTGCCAGGAACCCGGTGTCGGTCCGCTTCACGTCTTTCTCGAACCGTGCGAGTGTCTCCACTGGGATATCTCCAGTATCGTCCCAGTTGGGTAGCTGTACTCTCCGTCCATTGTTGTAGATGCTTGCGGTGCGGTTCACCCAGTTGATTTCGGGGTTGAATTTTTTCAGGAAGTCTCGCCCGAAGATCAAGTCAAGCCCTTTGATATTGGTGATGGGGAGTGCAGGTCTCCAGCGCAGTGGTCCAATTTGTAGATGTAGCACTGCTTCGCCGTGTACTGGTAACTTGCTGCCGTCCACCATCGTTGCAGAGAATCTTGAAGGCTTGTACTCTTCCCGGAGTCGGTCGATCATTGCCTTGTCGCAGACGGTGTGTGACGCTCCGCTGTCCACGAGTGCTTGGAGGCGTCGTCCTTTGCAGATGACCTCGAGCACGAGGGGCGGGCGTTGCTCGGAGTACCCAAAGATAGTTTCATTAATGGGGTCATAGGGTACATCCCAATAATCCGTACACACCTTTGTGTTGCTGTCTACTCCTGAGCTGGCAGCTGGCCGAGGCTGCTTGGAGAACGGCTCTTCTCCAGGGCCCGGAGTTTCTTTGACGACTGTGCGCGTCACTGATGCCGAAGAACTGGATGCATCCGTAGAAGGAGTTCGGGGTTTGTGCAGCTTCTTGTAGACCCCCAGCTTCCTCTTGAGCTGCTTCAGCTCCACCGACGTCTTCCCTGGGGAGCGGGTAGTCGTTGTGGGCTGGTGTCGGGAGAGGACGTTGACTCCGTGGAAAGGTCGGCTTCTTTCCACACTCCTTAATTTGGTCCCCAAGTTGTCCGGTACCGGTATAATCTCCACAGCTGTCTGCTTCTTTTGGAGTCCCTCCCGAAATTTCTCCAAGGCTCTAGCCCCTCGAACATCATAAGTTTTCATTAAAGCATCTTTATAAGATAACTTTAACGAATTCTTATAATTTCTTGGGTCTTCAAGGAGTTTCCCTGTCTCGGCAGAGTCTTTTTTCGCGGAGTCGTATTTTTTCTCAGCGATTTTCCCTGGCGAAGACTGGTCGTGGGGTGGAGATTTTCCCCCATCATTTCCTCCTTCTCGCGTCGAATCAGCTTCGTCGAAGCTGATTTTTCTGGAATCCCGCGGCCGCTTTCGGATCTTTTTATTTTCGCCAGCTAGATCCGCAATCACTGGCGACTCCCGTTTTTTGTCTTCTGATTGGCCGAAAGATTTCCGCCACTGTTGCGTGCCCGATACTCTGCGCGTGCGGCCTTCATTTTGTTGCAGTCGAAGATTCGGTGGCCCGGCACCCCGCAAAAATCACACGTGTAGTTGGTGTTTTTCGGACGTGGCCGCCCCTCGAATCTGTCGACTTCCATCGGGTCGGCGAACGTGGGGTGAGCCGAGCGGTCGCCCTGTCGCGTACTGCCGACGTGCGTCCGTCGTGTTCCGGCGTTGACCATGTCGAAGCGCTCCGCTGCCGAAACGACGTCACTGTAGCTCGCGTAGTTTGACGCTGCGACTTGTCGTTTGACTTCGGTCTTCAGCCCGGCGAGGTACGATTGTACTTTTTCCCCTTCGGTCAGGTCGGGAATTCGGTTATAAAATTCTTCCATCTGCTGCGTGTACTGCGCTACACTCCCGAACTGTCGGTGTCGATGAATTTTTTCCCGGGCAAGGAAACTCGAATTTATCGGTTCGAAGCGTTTCAGCAGGTCGGCGCGGAACTGCTGCCACGTGGCTTCACCGTGGATGAAGGTGCTGTTGCCGCCAATCCACTCGAGTGCCGGCCCTCGCATCAGTGTCGCCGCGAGTCGTACGCGTTGACCGTCCCAGACTGGCGAGCTCCATCCGACGGCTGCGAAGTAGATCTCCATCCCGGCGATCCATCTGCGGGCGTCGGAGTTTCGATCGCTCGGATCGAACGGCTCAGGTGGGCGCGGTTTCGGAGCCTCGAGAAACTGCTGCGACTGCTGCGTCGTCGCCGTTGTCGTCTCGTGCTGCGCTCCGGCGAGTCGAGTTACTCGCTCGAACTGGTTTCGCCACGCTTCGCGATCCGCTCGCATTTCCTCCTGAAGGGCTGCGATGCGCGCGAAGAGCTGCTGGGTAACCTCGGCGTTGTCGAAGGTTGCCACCCTGTTCAAAACACGCACGGAGGGGGTAATTCGAAAATTGCGGAGCTGGTGCTTACCAGAATCGGCGTCGAATTGGTCGCCCCCGGCGGTTTTTCGAGGCAGGATCCCCGCTGCTGCTGCTTAGCTGAGCGCGGCCGAGTGAGAAAAGCTCTGATACCAAGTGTCACAGGATCGAATGTGTCGAGGAAAGGTTGCACTATCGATCAGTACAAGGTGCTTTTATACTTCCAGAGTACATCAGGTAACCAGGTTTATCTTATCCTAAGGGAATAGACCCTTCTAGAAGATAGAATCACTCTGCGTATAGCCACGCGAGGCGATTGGCTTTAAGGGATTACGGCAGGATTACGCTAGATAGAGCACACCAATACATCCCAAGCCTGGTCGGTGATATAATGATAATAGCAGGATAAACCAAAGGTTAATGGAAAAGGAAGAATAGGAAACCAAATGAGAGGCGGTAAAAAGAGAAATGAAAAGGAAAGGAAATAAGAAAAGGCCAAGTGGTGTAACGGGGTCGTACTCTCACACTTTAGACCCTTGACTCAGAGGTGGGACTAGTAGTGGCGCGTTGAGTTGCCGTTTCTCTCATCAGGAACTGCACCTATGCAGTCTAGGGGGTGTGTCAAACATATATAGTTTATGTTTGTATAGACAGTATAGGTTCGTATCTTAGAGGGTACAACACTTAGGTTTATACCCTTGTACTATTTTTTCCTCGACATTCAACTACTACGTTAAGACGTCTATCTCTGCCGGAAAGTTGGTCGCTGACTATAGACGCATTCTTCATAAAAATTCGCACTTGCCCTCACCATTTGCTGTCGCAAAAGATGAACGAACAGGCAATCGAGGTCAGCTTTGTTGATCAACATCCCACCGACATCAACCACCGAGACCAATGATCGATAGAAAAACCCTCTCAGACTCGGCAAAATTCATCTGAGTGACGAGAGTGCCGCGCGTGTCGCATCACTCTAAACCGCTTTGAAACAACTTGCACTGCACGGTGACACGCGAGTCAGATGAGGGGCACTAGGGAACCGAAATTGTATCAGGGTAGCCCAAAATTCTAGGCATGACTTGTCAGGCTTGAAATTTTTTGGGCCTAATAAAAAGTGCCACTTCCAAATAGGGGTGACCCTGAGTCATCGGCCCTCCCAAAACCAATCTGAGGGCCTGCATGGGATACTTCAAACTTGCTTCCAGGCCCTCAGATTCGTTTTAAGCGACACTGAATTTTCAGGGTACGTACACAAAGGCACCCTGAAAACCCCCTGAAAATTAGGGTTGGTACTTTGTTTTGAACTAGTAAGCCCCGTTTTTTTCGGATTCCAACGCTGATTCTTCAGGGTCGGTACAGGAAAACACCCTGAAAATCAGCAAAATCTGGAAAAAAACACCTGAAATCTGAGGGCATGCTTGCTTCTATCTCTCACATTAAAGTTAACTAGAATGAGAGATACAAGGTGCTTTTGTGCTAAGGGGTTGTACTCTCTACGATTACACACCTACCTAATCAATAAGACACATACATATATGCTTTGACACAACCCCTAGGCTAGATGCGGGGCAGTGCCTGGTAAGAGGCACGAAGCTCAGGGTGGCACCACTAGTCCAACCTCTGAGGCAAGGGTCAACCAGTCAGCAAGAGTACAAACTAAATAAGAGTAATCCAAGGCAGCACTTCTAGTCCAGCCACTGGAACAAGAGCCACAAGATCAGTCAAGATAATATAAGGAGAGGTACACAATCAAGGTCCTAGCAACTGAGAAGCTACAGGAACTAGACCAAGCTGTGCACAGTGCCACTGATGATCTTTAGGCGCAAGCGCCTTCGTAAAGATATCAGTTGTGTTGGCACCGGAGGCCAAGTGTACTACGCGGGCCTGGCGGCGCTGCTGTAGCTCGCGCAGGAGGAAGTACCGCAGCTGGATGTGCTTTGCTCTGCCCTCAAGTCGAGGCTCTTGACACAGGAGGATCATGGCGCTGTTGTCAGCGCACAGGACCGGGGCAGAGCTAGGCCGCTCACCTAAGTCGGTGAGCAACAAAGTCAGCCTGCGGAGCTCCTTTGCCGCCATGGCACCAGCGTAGATCTCAGCCTCACAACTAGACTGTGCAACAGATGACGTGCGGGTGGACCTCCACGAGATGGCACCTGCACCAAGGGTAAAGCATTAGCCCTTGGAGGACCTGAGCGTCTTAGTGTCGTCCGCCCACGAAGCATCTGTGTGCCGTGTAAGGATCACATGCATGCGTCCTCCTAGCACTAGCCCCATGCTTGATGTACTTGCTAGATAATGCAAAACCCACTTAGCGGCCGACCAGTGCTGTGGTCGGTGTCTGCCTGTAGCCACAAAGCGAGCCAGGATGCTGAGACGGTATGCGAGATCTGGACGCGTGCAAGTCATCAGGTACATGAGGCAACCCACTAGCTCAGCGTATGGACCACTAGGGTCTACTGACTCGTCAGGGACTGTACCTGAGAGCCTGTGGTCTACCGGCGGAGGTGTGGGCTGTGCGGAGGAGGACTGAAGACCGAACCTTTGGAGGACGTGGCGCACCAAGTGTGACTGTGTGAGAGTGATGATGCGCGCTGCTCTGTCCCTGGAGATCTGCAGGCCAAGGTAGCGACACAGCTCTCCTAGGTCAGTGTTGGTGTGTCTCCTCAGCAGCTCAGCCTTCACGAAGGCCAGTGCATCTCTGTCTGCTGTAGTGAACACCTGGTCATCTACGTAGACAAGGATCTAGAACATAGTCTAGCTTGAGTGAACGAAGAGCGAAGGGTCTGCAGAGAATGAGAAGAACTGCACGTTAGCTAACGTAGAACGCAGCGTGTCGTGCCACTCATGGGGCACCTATCGCAGGCCGTAAACCGGGTGACGGAGGAGCCACTGGATCCCCGGAGCAAAGGTGCCAGTAAAGCCTGAT